GGTGGAAGGGGTAGGGGTGTCCCCCAGTTACATGTAAACAATTTCTATTTAGTATTCTCTACTAATTAAAATCACCCCCACCGAGGAAGGGGAAGCGCTTCTACAGGGTATATAAGAGCCACACAAACACACTTCATCTTAGGAAGCACTTAGGGAAGCTCCCAAGAAAGCAGTGTTAGCAAAAATGGTTGGTTGGGATGCTTGGATCTCATAGATGCAAGTGTATCAAGATGTCTGCCCACAAAATTCACTTGCATTTAATGCTTCGGAATATGTATATTCCAGTATTCCTTATATGAAGTAAATAGTAATGTCAGACACTGTTGTCACACCGTACTAAGTAGAAGTTTAGGGCTAGCTTGAATGAGTGTTAACTTTCTCTCTGAATTTTGACTGCTTACAGTTGCTGGTACCTGGTGGCATTTATTTTCCCTCGAGAAGGACCTAGGAACCTTATGAAGGGAGGGAGGGTAGATGCTCGGCCACATTTCTTCCGTTGTGTTATGTGTGTTCCTTTTTTTCTTATCAATTTAGAGTTCTCTGGAAAAAAAAAAGCTGTTTCGTGCCTCTCTCTCTCTCTCTCTTTTTTAATGTAAATGTGCAATTGTACTGGATTTTCTCTTGTAAAAAAACAACATAGAACAAACAAAAAAAAAAATCACACTACAATTCCTTTACTTAAGCTCCTAAACTGCCATTTGCCTGATTCCAGCAATTAATTCTGAGGTAACTTATTGAGCCTCCAGGAATTCTCTTGATTGGATATGATCCCAGGAGAAAGAGCAAAATGGAAAATGCTATGCATGTTACAAAATCAAATCGCTACCAGTAACATGCAGCACAGCGCACCAAAACACTAAACTTTGCTCTTGAGCAATTATATAGTTTGATATCCTTTTAAAAAATAATTTAAGAAAATCTAGGTTTTATCATACTAAAACTTTATTTTATATATATATATGTGTGTGTGTGTATATATATATGAGATAAATGTTTGCTTTTTTTAAACTTACTAACATGAAGGATTTCCTTTAACATTCAAATTGTAACTCTCCTATTGAAACCGTATTCCACATGAAATCTTACCTCCTTTGTTTTGGACTTAGTGCTATTTAATACCTGATGACTTTTATATGGTAAGCCAGGGTGCATCCTGTATACTTACAAATACCTTAGGTTTCAGTATTTTTATGCAGCTTCTTCATCATGTCACGTTTTGTTGGTGTTACAACAGCTCTGCTGAGATTTTTTAATCTTTTTAGGGGGTTGGGGGGTACCTAATAGGATCGTTCTGCCATTTCAGAAATCAGGGTGAAAACAAAATAGCTAACCATAGCTCTGGAGTCTTTATCCAGGAGCGCTCTTTAATGGTCCAAAAGTGGCTTTAGCCCATGCCAGTGCCAGGGCGCTCTCCTCACCTCTGGAGTGTCACCGCCCGCCTGCACGGTGCAGGCTGTGGAAGCAGTAAGGCGGAGAGAGGGCTGTGCTTTCTGTGTGCATCGTGTGCACGCACTGTGTTTGCCCGTGCTTCACCAACGAAATGGTCCAAAGGACGTGTTGCTCGCTCATAGTCTGTAGTTGGTATTGGTTAGCTTGTAAATCTGTATGGTCAGAGCAAAAATGGTTGGGTTTTATTCTTGTCCAAAAATGAAATAACTTAAAGCATCATGAGATAATGGTGGGTTCTTTTTTTTAGCCTCATGTTAATTCTTTGGAAGAAGCGAATGTAAAATTTTTGATAATCAGCATAAAGCTTCAGAAATCAGATGGCTAACAACTACAGAGGAAATCCCAGGCGGCCTTCCCCTCATTCCTGGAAGGCCGGTCCGCTGAAGGGATTCACTTCTTTAATAGCTAATCAGGGCTAGAGTCAGGAGGGAGGTGGGGTTTATTTTCATTTTTATTTTAACAAGTTCCTACTCTACCTTAATTCTCAAAGATGATTTGGCCTAAGCTATAGAATAGGCCAGCTTTTAGAATCACTGAAACTTGGAGCTATCTCTGTGTTCAAGTCAGGAACAAATGTAAAAACTAAAATAATAATAATACGGGGATGGCGGCTCCCAGCTCCCTTCTGCCATTTCCACATAATACTTGGAAACATGCTTGTAAATAATGTTCTGCAATTCTGAGATAATCATGTAGAGGACTCTCAGAGTAGGCAGGCCATTGGACAGGTTTCTCTCCCGGTTCATGAAGTAGTTTCCTTTCGGCCTCGTTGCATGGTTTGTGTTCCAGTCAGGGCCAGGGCCAGGGCCAGGGCGAGCGCTGCAGTCTGGACGGCAGAGAGCAGCCCTACAGAGCCTGGTCTCTGGACCCCGCCCCCCCCCCCCAGGGTCCTTTAGCGTTCACCTTGAAGTCAGGGCACTGCCGCCTGCCGGGTCCCAACAGGATAAGAAAACAGGTTGCCGCGGAGCCCTTAGGTCTTGGGAAGCTCACCGGGGAGGTACCTCGGGCAGCGCAGACTCGACTTCCCGAGTTGGCCAAGTTGCTGCAGACTCAAAGTGATCATTTGGAACGATTTCCTTTGGCCTCGGGCCACTTACAGTTGGTCCCTGGTTGTCTGTAAACCAAGAGTAGAACCCGCCTCCACTTTCAGCTAAGCTGGGGAACAGATCTGATTAGACGGCTTTGCCATGTATTAACGAAGATTGAAAAGTTGGACATGTGTATATACTGAAATCTACCAACTTTTCCCCGGGGTGGGGTACAGGGAGAAAAGGGGGTTAGAACAGGGTAAGGGAGGGGGAATGATGTTTACCACAGGTACAAAGTAGTCACTTTAACATTGAGACCTCTGCCTCATCGAATTCAGGTTTTTTAAGTACTTGAAACTCTTCATATTCCCCTTATTTTACAGATACTTTTAAACTTATGAAGTAGAAAGCATTGTTTTGTATACTGTTTTGAAAACAAATAACCTAGTCTCTTGTCCTCTTCAACTTGGATTAAAGGCAAAGTTCTGCAAATGGGAGAGAGTGTCCACAGCAGATAGCTCAGATTTCATGTACACATTCGGGAAGAGACTCTTGCATGAAATACCAGCAGCATTTTTATGAGTATTTCCCACGTGTGTTTTTTATTTTGTCATTTTGTCAACCCTAGCCCCGTGCACCTCTTCTTTCCTTTTAATATATATGCCTGTGTAGGGAAAAAAAAACAAAAATTTGCACTTACGTTACACTGCTGAAACAAACGCAGGGTGTAATCTGTGTGTTTCAGAAACCATTTCCGTTCTTTTCTCCGTCAGTCCATTGCTTAAGTGACAAGTTCAGGTGCTTGTGGCACAAATGTGTGCAGCAGGGGAGGGGGGCCGGGGGGGGCAGCCTGCCCTTCTGTAGCCTGTGAAAGTCAGTTATGTGTAAGAGAAAGGGAAAAGATGAACAGTTGCCAAAGTCATTTATTCGGTCCTTAGTTTTCTTATGTGACCTTCCACATCTGCGAATTGGCAAGCAAGCCCCCTTGGGTGCCGGTCCCCCCCCCGCTCCCCAGCCGGCCACAGACCTGCGACGTGTGCCCGAGGCGCGGTGTCCATCAGATCACCGGGCCAAGGTATGTATGAGGTCTTCTTGTCAGGTTAGGAGTGGACTGGATACAATTTACTTTTTTACTCTGTTGTCATTAATATTGCTCTTTATCTCATTTGTGCTGTCACATACCCTCTGTTAAAAAGAAAATCACATTGCCTCCGATGACCAAGATGCTAAATGATGATTACAACTGGCTAATAAGATCCTTTTTCTATACAAGGGTGTGTGCACAATTGGAATTGATGAGAAATTCATTTGTAACCACTTGTGATATTGCACAACAAACACAGATACCTACAGATTGTTTTCTTTTTCTTGTGATCTTTATCTATGATAATGACCTTTGTAGATTGATTATTTCTGTACTTTGTTTATCTGTAATAAACTTTGTAGATCTTGTGAAATGTTATTTTGCCTAAATCACTCGAGACTTGAGTCTTTAATAACAAAGCATCAATATTCACTAAAGTCAATCTCTTTTGAGTTTCTGTGACTTGGCTAGAAGCTCTTGACACTAAGAGATTAGTGTCATTTTCCCTGGGGGGTGTTCCACTAGGGCATTACTGTTTAATGACTTGATGTTGCCACATAGACTTCAAGATACATGATATTTTGGGGATTTTGTTGATTGGCCTATGTTTTACTGCATAGTGTGAAACGTGTAAAGCTTGGTTAACCTGTATATAGATAGCTTATTGTTGACTAGTTATAGTGTATTTAGGATTGCCTGTAATTTTAAGCTTCTTACTACTGTGTGTGCTGGTAGGAACATAAATTTTTGTACATTTACTGAGATGTTGCCTTTTTTTATTTTACAAATACTTTGGAATTCAAATGTGTTTTTTGCTTCCTTGAGGATTAACTTGGAAAGGTTCTTAATGACATTCCACTGACTTCAGATTTTGCTTGAGATTGACTTCAATAAATTGTCCTGTATGTTCCAAATTAAACTGTGGACTTGTTCATTGCCTGTAGTTTCTGGCCACAACTGCTGGCTTAGAGGCCCTGAATGGGAGAGAGGGCACCGGGTGCCGGGCTGGAGGACCCGAGACGTGCCCGCCCCCCGGCCGCTGAGGCCTGCGGCACAGCCAGGTCCTCCGAAATGCTGCCATGCCGCAAATAGACGTGGGGTTTGGTGGTGTTTTCCCAGAGGGAAGGCCCTTGGAGAATGGTACTTCTCGCTCAGTGTGGTAGGAGACTGTGGAGCGAAGGGCGGGAGGGGGAGACGTGCATCACTTTCATCCCGGACGCTAGCTTGGGGTCGGCGGTCCCTGGAATGGCACTGCTTGCAAGCTGGGGCGCGCAAAGCCGCGCCTCCCGCTTCCCCGCGTACCGGATCGCCGGCCCGCCAGTCGGGTGCCGTTCCCCCAGCGCCTGCCAGCCAGCGCCCCGAGCCGCCGAGGCCCGCCCCCGGGGACAGCCCTCCCGGGGGCGGGCCCGCGTCCCGCCGCTGCCACGTCAGCGCAGCGTCTGTCCGCGGCGGACGGCAGGATGGGGAAGGCGGCGGCCCTCGGCGCCGAGCTGGGCGTGCGGCTCACCCTGTTCGCGGCCTTCCTGTAAGCGGCCCGGGCGCCCCGGGGCCCGGGACCCGCGGCCGGCGCCCTCTCGTACCGACCGGCCGGAGCGGCGCGCGGGCGGGCTGTCCACGCGAAGGAGGCGGGCGGGCAGCCCCCGCCGGGCCCGGGAAGCTAACCCACGTGCTCTGCACATTTTTGTTTCCCCTCCAGGGTAACGGAGCTCCTTCCTCCCTTCCAGAGGCGGATCCAACCCGAGGAGATGTGGCTGTACCGGAATCCGTATGTGGAAGCAGAGTATTTCCCTACCAAGCCCATGTTTGTGCGTGAAGAACCAGCCTTCCTTCCGCCCCTTGATACTTAGTACTGAGCTTGATGCTAGGGTGCAGGTGGGCCTTCCGGCTCCGGCATGATCTTTATGCTCCCTTTGATGAGGTGCTCGACATTTTGTTTCCTTATGATTAAGATCCAAATTTAGAGGAGCAAGATGCCAGTTTGGGCTCGAGACACGTTCCGTGAGCGCTGCTCCTTAGGATGGCCTGAGGCAACCTGGCCCTTAGAATAACGGCCGATGGCGATGGCGTTGGCTGGTGGAGCTGCCCCGTGCTCAATTACCCCGCAGACACTGCCGCTGCTCATATTGACAGGGACCCATTAAGTCTGACCTGTGACTTCCGCTGTCCCCTTCCCATCCCTCTTCCCTGTAGGCGCTACTTGAACCACTAGCCGCATGGTTTTACTAGGGGCTGGGTTTGGGTTTTTTAACCTCTGCCATCTTCTGGTTCAGGTCATTGCATTTCTGTCCCCACTGTCTGTGATCCTCCTGGCCAGATGTCTCAAGAAGGCAGGTGCGACAGACAGCAAACAAGCCTGCCTGGGTAAGAACGAGCCCTCTCTGGCTCCTCGGTGCTGGCATCTCCGCCACTGGAGGTGTGACCTCTGCGTGTGGAGGCCACTGAGTTCTGCGTTCCTCAAGGCGTCCTATCTCCCCTGTACCCTTGTTGTCACCCGTGAGAAGACTGGCACTCTGAGAACATCGTTAACCTCCGAGGTGAACGATGCGCTCGATGATTTGTACCCCAGCCTAGTGTCCAGCCTAGTACGGAAGCGCTCTCTGTACTCCACCACGTTCAAGGCTAGAATGATTCTTCTGCTCCGCTCCGGCTGGAGCCTGCCCGCTTCTGTCTCAGAAAGACCCTGGCTGCTCTCTTGATGGGACTGTGACCGCGCAAGTCCTCCTAGGCAGAAAGCACTAACAGGAAGTTTCTTTGCGTTCCAGCTGCCAGCCTTGCCCTGGCTCTGAATGGTGTCTTTACCAACACAATAAAACTGATAGTGGGCAGGTAAGTGACCAGAGTCCGCGCCCCGGAGCCTGCCTCGCGCCCCCTCCCCCCCCAGGTCCGCAGGAGATGGTTAACGGCACCCTGTCCTCTATCCTCAGTCTGACCTTGCTCTTCTCACCTAACATGGCCTCCCTCCCCTACGGCTGTCCTGCGGCTGACACTTGGGCTCTTTGCTGCCCTGAACAGCGTTTCCCACTGACCGGCACAGCGGGGTCCGTGTCCGCTGGAACACCCCCTGAAGCTGCAAGGTGGCTTGCTCTTTGCCCTAAAAAGTCATCGTGTGTTGGACTGCCCCCCCCCCCTTTAAATGTGGACCCTGGAAATGATGTTTTTCTTTTAATGGTGACTATCCTAATCCAGTTTCATTATTTTGCCTGGGACCCTAAATCTGACCAATTGTGAACAGGATTACAGTATCTGATACAACCAAAAAATAATTTCTGGAGTTGTTAAGTGATCTGTGTTGAGACCCTGTTTATTTTTTCAGGCCACGCCCAGACTTCTTCTACCGCTGCTTCCCCGACGGGGAAGCCCAGTCCGACTTGACGTGCACAGGGGAGAAGGACGTGGTGAATGAGGGCCGCAAGAGCTTCCCTAGTGGGCATGCTTCCTGTATGAATACCACAGGGACTCAGCATCTGCGCCTTTTTGGGGTCACTGAATTTAGCTTAGGGGGCTTATGAGGAGGGGGCCATCTCTCTACTCTTATTCTTGTATCTAAAAACTAGAGAATCCCCTTCTCCTTTAATAACACCAAGGTTTCACAAGCCTGAGCCTCAAATATTAGGGTAGATATTCGAGGACAGAGGAAGTAGTTTACCTTCATGAGATTTGAACATTTTATGAGTCTTGTATTATTTGTCTAGATCCTGCAATCTGGTACTAGTTAGAAAAATATTAACTAACCTTTATTGCAGGTGCTTTGGAAAGCTTTTTATTCTTATCTCTTTTGATACCATAATAGCCCAAAGAGGTTGATACTATTATTTTTATGATTCCTATTTATACATTAGGAAACTAAGGCATCAAGAAGTAACCTGCCCAAAGTCCTACTGCCAGTATTCCCAACACTATTCCCAAGAGTCAATATTATTACCTTTGGGACACACAGTAAAGTCCTTCATTTTTCCTTTTGTTTCCTCCTCGTCAATGATCTACACCACAAGTGTACCAAAAAAGGTTAAAACATGTTCATACCCCCAGCCACCTATTTGCAGATGAGCAAGGGAGCTTCTTTTAAAAGACATAATACTTATAGGTTTTCCCTCTTCTAGTTGCCTTTGCTGGTCTGGCCTTCGCTTCCTTCTACCTGGCAGGGAAGTTACATTGCTTCACACCACGAGGCCGTGGGAAGTCTTGGAGGTTCTGTGCCTTTCTGTCACCTCTCCTCCTCGCGTCTGTGATTGCGCTGTCCCGCACCTGTGACTATAAGCATCACTGGCAAGGTAATAAGCAAGGTGGTCCTGCCATGCAAGTGTTCGTGTTTCACCCGCCACCGTATCCCTAGCATTTGGCACCGAGGAGATGCTGACTGTATCTGTTAAATGAATAAACAAATGAGTATGGGGTGGTCTGGGTTTCTGAACCAAGAGTATGTATCGCTGTGTGGAAGATGAGAAAGCACGGTTTCCTTTTAAAGAGATTACCAAGGAGAAATGTCGCAATTTTTCCATTATTTTGAAGCATCCTAAGTTCAGAATAAACTAAGAATTTTTTTCTCTAAGAAATTTTTTACAAAGATCAATTTATTTACTGTCTTAAAAATCGTTTGTAAAAAAAAAAAATCAAGCTCATTGTCATGAGATTTTTGTTCAGAAACCAAAATTCAAGAGAACATAAAATTGTAGTTAAACCAAAGAAATTCAAGTTGAATGATATAGTAAAACATCCAAATTACAGAGTATCTTCACGGAAAACCTGTAATTCAAAAAAAGCTGATAGTATTGCCCAGAAGTCCTTAGGAGCCCTGTTTTAAAGAATAAGCTAATTTTTTGCAAAGAAGGGCAACTCCTGAACAGTTTATTGCTTCCTCTAGAACTCTTTACATGGTGAAAAAGGGTTTAATAGCAGTAAGTGAACCTTTGTTATCTTGAATTTTTAAAAAATTCACTCTAGTGGGAGGTGGGAGGGGGGATCGGGTAACTGGGTGATGGGCATTGAGGAGAGCAAGTGATGGGCATTGAGGAGGGCATGTGACAGGATGAGCACTGGGTGTCGTATGCAACTGATGAATCAACTAATGATGTGTACTATATGTTGCCCAGTTGAATTAAAAAAAAAATTGAATCTAGTGTATCCTTGGAAAAAGGCTTATACTTGATTAAAGGTGTGTTTTTTTTTTTAACTTTATTTATTTGGGAGAGAGAGCACGAGTGGGGGAGAGGCACAGAGGCAGAGGGAGAAGCAGGCTCCCCGCTGAGCAAGGCGCCCGATGCGGGGGGTGTCCCTGGAGCCTGGCATCATGACCTCAGCCACCCAGGCGCCCCCAAAGATGTGTTTTAACTTGTTTAGGAAAGAACCTGATGATAATCCTGCTAACTATATGATAAAATTGGGAAAGCCTAAAGAAACCATAAACCTGAAATTGAGGTTTTTTTGCACCCAAACAAGTACAGTAACCTGGAGGGCCAAGTTCTCCGTAGAGGCATCCCCCATTGTACTGCACTGCACATAGAGCTGTCTCTCTTGCCAATGGAAGGTTCTAGCAACCCTGCACTAAGCGTGTCTGTCGGCACCATTTTCCCAACAGCATTTGCTCACCTCATGTCTCCATCATATTTTGGTAACTATTGCAGTGTTTTAAATTTTTTCATTATATTTGTTATGGTGATCTGTGATCAATGATTATGACTTGCTGAAAGCTCAGATGATGGTTAGCATTTTTTAGCAATAAAGTATTTTTAAATTAAGGTATATACTTTTTTTTAGATCTAGTGCTACTGTACACTTTAATAGACTACAGGATAGTGTTAGCATAACTTTTATATGCACTGGGAAACCAAAAAATTCATCTGACTTGCTTTATTGAGATACTCGCTTTATTGGCAGCGATCTGGAATCAAACCCTCAGTATCGGTATGCCAGCCCTGTGTGGTGTTTTAACATGATTTGAGAGTCCAATACGATTAAGAAAAGACCTTATCTCCTCTCTTTTAGATGTACTAGTTGGATCCGGGATTGGCCTGACATTTGCCTATGTCTGCTACAGGCAGTATTACCCTCCTCTGACGGATGCAGAATGCCATAAGCCATTTCAGGACAGACTTGTACTGCCCATGGCACAGAAGCCTGGTGACCCTTATCATTTTAGTATTTAGAAATCAGAACTACCTCAATGGAGATTAGGTGAATCAGCCCCTCCTAACTGCGCAAGACAAGAAAGTCTGACCTTTTTACTCTTGAAGAGATACAGGTGAGCACTTCATTCTGTGTATGTTTATGCAGTTTTGCTCACATGGATTTGTCATGAGTCAAGGTTCAAGGTTTTTTTTCACGACTCTGTGCCACACATTCTGATAAAAAGATCTTCCAGTAGTCCACCAGATTGGTATCCCAAGATCTACAGCATTTTACATTTAATTTAAATGTCATTCTTGGAAGGATCTTTCACAAAGAAACCTTTACATATCCTAGAACCCCTAGAACCCAGAGTTGAATTTCCATTTTCCATAGCTCAGAATCTTAAAACCCAGGGCATGACCAACTAAATTATTTTGGTTCTGTTTTTACTTTCTCTGGTGACAATTCCATCAAGCCTTAAATAGGAAAATGTGCAGTTGTGGCTTCCTTACCGCATTATACATGTATCTTATTTGAGTCTAGCCAGATACTGCTGTCCATTTTGAATCCTGTGGGCATAAATTATTTATTGAATCACTAAATAATTTTTAAAAATGGTAAGGACAAATGAGGTGGAAATCATCAGTTGCTAGTATTGAAACCACACTCCTGAACTGTGTTCATGAGCTGCTTTCCCTCCATGCATGACTGAAGATCTGCCCAAATGCATCAACTCTGCAACTGGGTAAGGCAGGAAAGAAAAATTACACATGTCATTATCTGGAGGACAAATGAACTTCTTCTGTCCCTTCTTCATAATGGGATATAAGAACAATTACAGGACATCATCAGAACTGATACTATAGGACCTACAACTGCTCTGCTCTTTGCGATTATACTTTAACTATGACCTTGTCTTATGTGTTTCTATATTTTCGATGTATCTTTTTCCTTCAATAAATGTGACAGTCAAAAATGGTGAACATGGGTGTTTTTGGTACGTAGTACCATTCGAGAGCTGGAACATTTCCAAAGTAAAAGACTGAATTCCCCATCTGACATAAGTGATATAACTAGCTATAGTAGAGGCTGATTATCTGTAAATATTGAATAACAGTCTCAATATTGACTGACTTTGTAATTGCCATGCTTTAAATTCTGAACTACATCTGCCTATGATAATGAAAACACCAGTCAAGGAAAAAGAACTTAAATATTAGTTCTTTGCCCCAAACTTTTATTTTTTTAATTTGTTTAATAACATAAAGGGGAAGAAAATGGTTATTGTATTAATTTTCTCTATAATGGATCGAACCAGGTAAAAGTAGGCAACTGGTCAATACGGTTTTATTTCAGTATTTCTTAAACTTTTAAATAGAATCATGTAAAAAACAAACATTTCAAAAAGTGCAAAATATTAGAAAGCTAATCAGTGCTATTAATCTTTCCATGCAGACAATCTCTTGCTGAGCTAAGCAATACAAATTCTGTAGCAGGGAATATGTATAAAATGATACTCTACAGAGTTTAAAAAATAGGCTTGGTCAAGAGATTGCACATGATACAACTGAAGTAGTGCAAATAATATACAGCTAAGAATTTAAATCAAACTTACTATCCTGTGTACTATACAACCATGATGATACCATAGGTGGAGAGACAAGATACAAAGCTCCTTTACAGTTGCCTGCCCCTCACTATCAGAAAACATTTCTTAGTACCAACAGTGGTTTATCTAGGTATCCAGGGTGATGCTGTTCATCTTTGGTTACAGGGACTCATTCTTGCTTATCCTTTGGTTTACTCTTAAATAGTATCTATTCTGCTAATATGAAGAATAAATTTAAATTTGAAGACAACTTGACAAAAGTTTCCCCTTTAAAATATAATTGAATGCTACTTAATTCTCAGTAACCCTTACTTCAAACTCAGTTTATATAGTAAAGAAAATAAAAGTATTCCATATATCTGACACTTCTTAGTGGCTTAGCATTAGTCTATAAGCAGATGGACAAGTAAAGGCCAGGCATGGGTCCTGTACCCCAGCCTTACCTCTACCATCTCTAGGGTGACGGTGATTAACCTTCCCTTTCCTTTTCTCTCTCGAAAGGGATAGAGACCACTGCTGTCAAAGGGATGGCTTAAGTGAATGTTAAATGCCATTGCACTGGATACCATGATATATTTACAAATCATTTTTTATAAAAAACAAAACACAGCTTGCCTGCCTCTGCCACTCTATAAACAGAGAGGCCTATGGAGGTCGGAGTGGAGGGTAAAGGACTACCACAAAGAGAACTGCAAAGTCAGTGACAAACTCTGACCAATGAGAAAGAAAATACAGCACAGTGGTGAGCAGATGCCCTGGAAAAAATCAGTCTATATGCACCCGTCTTCAAGGTACACCTCACTTTGCATGTTCTGACGTGGACTCCACACTGGCTGTTCCTCCGCTCCTACAGGCATAGGTTTTTCTTTCAGAGTAAGAAGCCTTTCCCCCAGCCAAAGCCACCTGCCCAGCCAACACTGCCTGTGCCAAGGGGTTGCTAAATAAGCTTTCTGGATTATGGGTACCTAAGCAGGCAATGGTGTTTACAAAATGTTTTCAAAGAGGACACACAATACTGCCTTCACCCAAGTGGATATGGTGGCTGACTCACACAAATTATTTCACTTTAAATGTACTACTGAAAGATTTTATTCATAACCAAAGCAGCCAGTCAAGGCTGTGTGATTTCAGGTTTGCCAGCCTTTATGACTTTGCCCTCAACTTAAGAACAGAAGCTACTATCAACTAAGATTTCATCTAGAGTCTCCCCATTTGAGCATGATATAAAAGGATAGGTCTAGGATAAATAATATCTTTGCTTTATAAAGATGAACCTAATGTGAACTAAACTATCCACTGTAAACTCTGAAAGCAGCTCAAACAGCTGGGAAAACAATGAATAGCATCAGTGATTCCTTGCCATCAACTGTCAGCTGTAGAGAGTAAACAATACTCTCTGTAAGCTACATTTCAGTCCCTCACACAGGACTTGTAGGAAAGAAAAGCTGGCTCAAAGGAAGGTGCCCAACAATCTTTTTCACACCCACTTAGCCTTCAAATGCAGAGAACACCAATGAGAGATGAGTGTACCCCAAAATGCCTTCTGAATCTCCGGAGTCTGCTTCCAAACTAGAACATTTTCTAAAGATAAGCAATAATTTCCTAGAAAAATTTCTACCAAGCCAAAATAAATCAAACTCAAAACAGACTTTATACTATCTCAAGTAATAAGCAATAAAGGATGGCACCTATCATCCCGAATTAAAGATGCAAACAACCCCCACTATGAAGAGTGGCGAGTACTTCTATAAAGCCAGTGCTAAAAAGTAATAGGGTCTTCCCTTTGTTTTTTCACTCACTTCCAAGATAACAAGATTATCTTCCAAAGACCCCGGTGGTAAGTAAGTGGCAGGCAACATGCAGGAAATGATGCGGCTGAGGAGAGGGAAACTGCAGCAACAAGCAGGTGCATTTTCTGGGGGAGGATCCTTCAGTGTCCGTCTAGGGAAGAGTGGAACAGAGGTCACGATGCAGTCACAACTGGAAGGCCACCAGCCAGAATGCCGGAGTCTAATGCACGAACTTTCTAGTTACACATCTAAAAGGTGGAGGAGGGGCGCCTGGTGGCTCAGCCGTTAAGCGTCTGCCTTTGGCTCTGGTCATGATCCCAGAGTCCCGGGATTGAGCCCTGCATCAGGCTCCCTGCTCGGTGGGGAGTCTGCTTTGCCCTCTCCCCAACTTGTGCTCTCTAGCTCTCTCTCTGTATCTCTCCAATAAATAAATAAAATCTTCAAAATAAAAAAAATTAAAAAAAAAATAAAAGGCAGAGGAACTTAAATCTCAGGATGGGCTGTTCGTCATTAAGATTGTTACCGGTGCCAATGGTAACTCTTAGATGATCAAACTATTTAGATTCTGAGTTCAGATCCTAAAAAATGACAGGTGTTACTGGACCAAGTCACTCGCAAAAACACACACACACACACTTTCTCTAAATGGACTATTGCACTTTTTCCTCAGCAATTTTAACCAGAGTCCCTCTAAAAATCAATAATAACCTAGCTCTTGGTGACAGGCAACAGAAGAGTACATTTATAAAGAGCTCAAGGCTACACTGTTCCTCATAACGTGTTAATATGTAGGAACTATGCTGCATACATGACATTTAAAAACTTACATTAAGCAGCCATACATGGTTCATTTTTACTGTAAAGGCTGATCAAGGAAGATGCCCTGGGTTTGGTAGATTTCTTTGAGGACCAGCAATACTGTATCTTCAGACTCCCTATAAAGAGAAAAACTTAGGTTGTAAAAAGAAGAAACTAACTTTTATACTAGATGTTTTACATATACTATCTCATTTAATCTACACAACCACCTTCAAGTTCATTTTTGCAAAAGTTCATTTTACAGTGGACTATTACTCAGCCATAAAGAAAAATGAAATCTTGCCATTTGCCACAATATGGACAGACCTAGAGGGTGCTAAGTAAGACAAATGCCATATGATTTCACTTATATGTGGAATCTAAAAAACAAAACAAATGAACAAAAACCAGACCTGTATATACAGAGAACAAATGTGGTTGCCAGAAGGGAGAGGGGTGGGGGGATGGGTGAAATAAGTGAGGGGGATTAAGAGGTACGAACTCCAGTTATAAATAAGTCACAGAGATGAAAAGTACAGCACAGGGAATATAGTCGGTCATACTGTAATAATGTATGGTGACTACACTCATCATGGCGAGCACTGAGTAATGTAGAGAATTGTCAATTCACTATGCAGTGATTCACCTGAAACTAATAATAACATTGTATGTCAACTACAGTTTAAAAAAAAAAAGTCTAGCATTATGTCTGGTAATACAAAAAAAGTAATAGGAAACGACCAAGAACTGTTCCCTTTCCACAGAGCTCATTCTTGGAACAATATGGAAGAGCCATCCAGTTGGCCACCTTAATTTTTTAAATGTTATTCACCTTTTTAAAAAGATAATACAATCATATGGTTCAAAATTCAAGATATGAAAGAGTGTAATAATGAAGTTTCCTTTCCACCTGTTTCTTAACCACCAGTTCCCATCTTCTGACAATGTTACCAACTTCTCATGCATCCTCCAGATATTATTCTGTGTATGCCCAATTACTTACATCCAGTTCATAAAGAAATTTGATTATAAACAAAACAACATCATGAAGGACTGCCTTAAGGACATATAGCTCGAACATTTCTCTAAATCCATGGTTTAACATTTTTTGAATCATGTATCTAACTACCCGAGACTCTAATGAAACCAATGGATTTCTCCCCAGAAATTATATAGATATATATAATATATTTTTAATACTTTAGCATACGAGGAATGTAATTTAAAAATATATATAAATATTATAAATAAAATTTCATTGGATTCATATGCTTTTTCTATCCCCTAAAAACCCTATACACAGAAGGTTAAGAAATTCCTCCTATGCCAGTGAAGGGGCATTAGCTAAACCAGATGTTAAAATGGTGTGATCCTGGTGCATAAATAAATGGATCAACAGAAAAGAAGA